GATATATTTGGAATAAGAATGACCCCAGCCGCTGCAGTTCTCCTCCCGGCCCCAGGTGAGGAGAGGGGGCGCCACAGACACCATTTGATCCACGCAGAGCTGTAAATGGATTAAAAAGATCCATCGATTTAACCCCGGCGTGTTTGTGCGTCACACTGAGCAGTCGATTCAAATGTCCTAAAATGTCTCATATCAGGCTCAGGCTGTGAACTCAGGAGTCTGGCACTTTCTGGTCACACTTAAGCTTTTCTTCAAACATCTCCTGGGCGCATGAAAAGTGCAGGAGAAAAGTGCTACAGTCACATCATTTAGTACGATACAGAAATAGACTAGAACTAGACATGTTAAAAATGTTAGCGTTTGCAAACAATGTTATGCTTTACAAATGGGGCTTTTACAATCACAGCAATAAAACAAGATCGGATTACATTTTTAAAGATGCTCTGTGTAACTTTTATATCTAGAGACAAGCAGGGGCAGACACTGCACTCACACTGACTGCACTTTTTCATATTTGAGAACTACAACAGCCAGTTCTTGAAACCACATAATATCAAGAGTAACTGGTCTCTTAAACATATACTACTACATTGATAAAATGTTTTACAATTATATGTATATTGCATTTTAAATGGGTACAGTTAGTAAAAGTACTAGATAATACTAGGGATGCACTAATCAGATACTGGCATCAGATATCAGTGCTGATACTAAGAAAAAAAAATAAAAAAAATTGTTGGATCAGATATTGACTTCCAAATATCGATTCAGCTAATATCCTCTTTGGACTGATAAATTGAGCCTATTTACACCAGGGATCATCAAGTAAAGGCTCGTGGGCTGACTCCAGCCCGCCATGCCCCTTTGACTGACCACCCAGCACCTCTGTCCCCACCATGTGAACTGGCCCTATGAGGCAATCTTCAAAAGTTGTCATGTTTATTTTTTATTTTATTTATTTTTTTATTACTTTTTGGGAAATAATAACATGTTGGCATCTTGAATTTAGTTGATTTTTCAATAAAAAAAAGTTTAATACTTAATATTTATTAAGGATTTATATTCATATTTAAATAATTAGATGACATATTTACATTTGCCTCTGAATTTGCTGCAGAATTTTCGTCACCTGATAAGCTCAAGATCAAACAGTGACAGTCAACGCAAAATGGCTCATGTTAAAGTACAAACAGTTGACAGAGAGTGCCAAGTTTTCAAAGAACAGTGGAAAAATGATTATTTTTTTGTTTATTGGAAGTTTGTCTGATATGTAAAGAAAGTGCGGCGGTTTTTAAAGAATATAATGTGCGTCATCAGGGTCATACTATTCTATTATACGGCCTACCCGACCAAAAGTTTGGTGACCCCTGATATAGACTATTTAGTAGCCGTAGCTGACCCAGAAAGACTCATAATGTTTGAATTTTAATGATACAAAGTTGTTCTGTAGTTACTTGAGGGATAAAGAACAACTACACACATAAAACATCTGGATCAGTTTTGTCTTATTTAATTTTTGTTTAAAGCAAATAAATGTTTTCAATCTCTGCACTGTTATTGGTTGGTATCGGATATCAACATACACTTAAAGCCATAGAGTCAGAATTGGTATGGGAACTAATACAATGCCAACACTCTTATAAACTGCTTGGCTATTATTGCCAAGTTAGTAAGTAAATAATAATACAGTTACTGTCACAGCACAGGGACAATGATACATAAATAGCACAAAAATTTCCTAGTATCTAAAACAAAGTAGACCCCAGTCTGTGTTAGGTGGGCACATAATGTTCTCAACGCAGTCTTAAGTAGCTGGCACACATGGGCAGTGGGCATTAGAAACAGCTCCTGCCAAAGCTCCACCATCTTGTAAATATTAGAACATGCGCAGGATGTGCTGAATGCAAACGTTGGTGGCAGTTACTGGCAAAACAAACGGGTAAAGAATTGACTCCAGCTGGCCATGGCGTTCAATTAAATTGGATTGTAATGAAATAGTTTTGATAAAGAAGTTGCCTTGTTCTTGACCACGGACTCTGCTTACAAACAGTCTATATGAGCCACCCACACGTGTTCTACAGAGCTGTGGGAAGATGTCTGGAGAATAGACTGTAAGGGGGTTTCACACGCTTTGCTGCTAATTTGCTTTAAAGGGGCAATGTTACACAAAACTGGCTTTTGTGAAATTTAAGTCGTGTTATAATGTTGTTACTGTCTCGAAAACATACCTGGGGTTGTGTTTTGTTTTATTCACACATATTTTTCACACATGTAATTCTGTATTATTAGTCTGTCTGCATCTCCACATCTCAATATGCTCTGTTCCACCTTGTGATGTCATGTAATGATGTAGTTTTCAAGTTAACACCTACCTTTTATCTTTAGTTCAGTAGAGATTGGCTATTACAGGGCTGAAATGATCCAACTGATTCTAGAGAAGGTGTACAGAGTTTAAAAACACAGTGGAGGATTTCCTATATTACCACATGACATCACTAGGAGGTAGAGATCGACAGCTCTGCATTTTTTCACGGCTGATCCCAATTGTTTAGGATCCAGAGGAACCAATAACCAAAGACCTTTGTCGATATGTAGAGTCAATTCAGGTAATTTTTCATTAAATTATCAAATTAAAAATGTATACAAGCTCACCCACAACCTTCTTCTTGTTTGTGATGAGGAAACAACATTATCACATAGATCAGAAATAGGGTAATATTTGCCCTTTAAAATACCAGCAACTCATATATGGCCCATGACTGGCAGAGGTAAGTAAAGCAGCCTTAAAATGCCCTTCTACTTTGCTGTTTGCTATTCACTGCATATGAAATCAATTGACTGATTTGTGATTATTATTTTTTTCTATACAGGCAATTAGAGTTTAAAAATATTTGATTAAAACGTGGCATTGGTATAATCTTACCCATTTGTTCTATTTCAGCAAATTTGAAGTTACATAGCACACCTTTAACCAAGACATTAGGAGCATATTTTTAATGGACTGTAAAACTGAGAGATACAAAATAATAAAACGTAAAAAAAAAAAAAAAAAATTAGATACTATTAAGTTTTGTAGAATAAAGTAAGTGTCTGCCTTTCCCTTATTTAAGATATATATTAAAGTAGAACAGCGTACTCCCTGTTCTTGTGAATCAGCCCCTAAACCACCTCTCCTGTAACTCCTCCATCCTTCGTTTCCATCCAAAGTTCCAGACAAGTGCTTCGGCCAATTAGACGAGAGATCCAACAGAAACATGTAATGATGTGAGGAGCTGGGATGTCCTCTGACACTGATCGTTAGCATGCACCGTTTGACATCATTAAGCACTTATGAATGCCACTGGTAGGAGGCTTTTATGGATAGGTAGTTTTTTGGAAATTGGAAGAAAGAAAGAAAAAATAAAAAAAAAACACGAAAAGCTGTAAGATCTTTGCAATTCCTCACAGTGTTAACGCAAGTAACCATAAATGCGTATACTGGGTTTGTACCGGGGGATGTATTACCTATTTAAAGCTCCACTGAAGCCACTTAACACAGGCAAGCCGATTCATCAAATAAAATGTTTTCAAAATGGGGTTATTTTCTGCATATTTTCTTGTAAGGAGTCCAAGTAGATTACCTTAACCAGCGTTTAATAAAGTGGCGTATTAAGGTGCACGGTGCAATATGGAAGTCACACTCAAGTGTTGGCTTCATAATATGGCTATAAAGGCTGTATTGTATTGTAGGGCTCTGTTCTGCTCAAATCAACCTAATTAGAAATTATTTTTATTGTCTGTGAACCAGGAAGTAACAATGATATGCTGTTAGCCAGTTGTTGTTAGCAGTGGCATGACTGCAAAACTCTGCTCTGGCCTTTGAAAGTTGTGAAAATTGCCTATAAACTTGTCACAGTGACAAATCCATTACAGTATTACACTATTACAGTATTACACTATTTTCTGATCTATATTATAATGTTGTTTCCTCATCAAAACATGCCTGGAGTTGTGTTTTGTTTCACACATGTTTAACACACAGTTCTTTTCTCAGAACAGAAAATGCATGCGGTAACATAGGAAGAGCTAACTTCATGAAATGGTTCCACTGTATTTTTAAATTTGGAACATTTGGAACAGAGCTAGAATTGCTGATCTCTACTCAACTAAAGGTAAAAGGGAGCTGATAACTTGAAAAGGACTTCTTCATGACACCACAAGTTGGAACAGAGCATTTTGAGCTTTGGAATAAAGGTCTGCACAGGACAGAATTTTCAGTCCCATTCCCACCCACACCTGCAATGTGCAGTCCCGCTCTCGCCTGCTCAGAATTGTAATTTTCATTCCTGCTCCCGCCTGCATCTAGGATATTTTGTCCCGCTACGTCCGCAAATCGTGCAAAGTCGGGGTGTTCGCTTTTTTAAGCTCTATCAAACATGAAGAAGCGGAAAGGAATTGTCTAAAATGTGGGCGAGATTAGACCAGGTCAGCAAATTTTGACTGCTTAAAATGTTTTTATTAATGTGAAATAATATATCCACCAGAAATTATGTATGATAGGCATATATTAATCAATTGTATATTTTACTTCACATTCATATTTAGTTTGTAGGACTGCAGTTTATCATCCCACCCGCCCACTCCCGCATTGTGCAGTCTCGATCCTGCCCGCTCCCGCACTGAGCTTTCGGGTGCAGGGCTCTACTTTGGAGATGTAGACAGACTAATAATAAAGGATTACTCAAACGTGTGTGAATGAAACAACGTTCCAGCATAAAAGCTCACATGAGTCAATTTGGTGTAATAAAGATACATACATATCAACCCCCAAAGAGTTGCCCCTGGCCTAGATGAGCATCATTTGACTAGAGCTGAACACTCTGGGTGACGCCACACTCCCTTAATACACGTCTTTACATACTCTATCTATAACAATATCATCAATAAATATCTTTATCATATATCACTGTAGTGACGTGGTAAAATGGCTTTAACGATACAGTGGTGGTGCAGGTTCTTACTAAGTTCCTGGAGTTGTTTGAGCTGCAGTACATCTTCCTCTTCCTCCTCTCCTGCAGGACAGAAGCGCAGATTGGATCCCTCCAGCACAAACCAGCCCAGTCTCCAGTGGTAGAGGTCATGACCTTCTTTAAAGTACAGCCGTCCAATCAGCTCGCTCTCCTTCTGTATCATGCTTTCCACTTTGAATGGCACAAAGCCCTGCAAAACCAAGATGGCAAAATTAAAGGTACATTGTGTAGCTTTTCTGATGGATAGTCTGTCAAATGTTTTTCTCCGTGGAGTTGTCATTGCTCTGCCTGAAAACAGCTCTACCTTCTTAAATTAAAGGCAGTTTTATAGCTAGAAAAACATATATTCTATTTGTGAGCGGGATTGCCTCTCCACAGACCTGATGTATAACTTGCTCTGATTTGGTCTCCATGAAGATAGAATAGTTTAAACATTTCAGACAGCTGAATCACACCTTCATGGAGAAAAGCAGATGGCAGACCCTCCACCAGAAACCTTTAAATATTATACTTTATATATGTACTTAATATACAGTATATGCATTTATATTATTAGCGGCAATGCATCCTGATTTTACTTTTTATGACTTAGTGGAGCAACCTGCAACTTTTCTGGAGGGTCTGCTAGAAGCGATTGCTTAGCTTGGAATATTCCATAGTAAGGCTTTAAACTAAGCTATATCCATGGAGACAAGTCACCAACCCAAGTTAAAGGTTAAATCTGTAGAAATGCAACTCTGCTCATCATAAGAATGCCTGTTTTCCAAGGTATGTTTTGGATACAAGAACAACTGTAATATCTAAATTTTGTTGAATGCCATACTGTGGAACATTACAAAAAGCAATAAGAGTGATTCCCATAAATAGAGGAGACTAAAATTCTACTCCACAGACTAAACTTTGTTCCCCATTGTCTTATCATAACAGTAATCAGTAATCCAAAATATCAAGCAATGTATTTTAATTTTTTTTTTTATTATTATTGTTATTATTATTTGTGAAGAAACAGACATGACACAAAGGTAAAAACAGATATCTTTCGAGCACGCATGCCTGGACAACAGACTCAAAGAAAATACAACTTTAAGCAACTTACGATCACGAAAAAAACATTACACAAAAGTTCAAGTCAAGTCAATTTCACGTAATACATTTTCTTTAACAGTTTCAACTTGAACTTTTTAGATTTTGTGAGCAGCTGCTGAGTGTTGGGTCAAGTTTGGTCAAGTTCCAGTGTCCAATTTTACAGTGTCCAGCTATTGTTTTGTGTTCCAAGGCTCTATAGACTGAGGTGTGGGAGGCTTTCGGTACAGATGGGAAGGCATATGGACGAATACAACAATAACTCCCACAATCTGTGACATGGTTGGCTGGGACTGAAGAAGTATAGAGGAAATAGTGGCGAGATTTAATGGAGTGTGCTATTATAAGGTTGTCAAAGGGTTCAGAGATAGAACATAACAAGAGGATGTACTGTACAATGTGCACTACATTCACCGCAGTTGTAAATAATAATAATAATAATAATAATAATAATGATAAAGTTGTGTAACCTTGGTCAGAGCCTTGGTCCAGTCACGTTGAGTTTCTTGAGTTTCGGCACCAAAAATCACAACTCGCTCAGTTTTCAAATACAGCTCCACAGTGAACACAGCCCTGCAAAAAGAATACAGAAAATACTTAGAAAAGAACACTACACTACTTACTATTCCATGTTTAATGCATAGATAGTAGGGATGTAACAATATCCAAATCTCTCGGTACAATATTATCACGATATGCATCTCACAATACACAATATACAATGCAATATTTACACTTTTTGGCTTTCAAACAACAAGACAAAATTTTGGTGTGAATTATTACTTGTCTTAATCCCAAGAATTCAAGTAAAACATATTACTTTCTTTGGTCTGCACTGAAATGAGTCATGGGATTTGTAGTCCCCAATGTATATAAGCTGTTGTTACTATAAAACAATGCATTTAAGCAAACAAACTTGTGATTTGATATATTGTGACAGCCCATGACATTATTGTAAGACTTTTGACCATAATATCACAATATTTCATTTATTGTTAAATCCCTAATAGATAGGCTTGTCACGATGACAAATTTTTACGCATGATATACAGATATTGCGATAAACGATAATATTGAAACTATTTTATACCACTCATAGAATTAAATTTAAGAAATATAATCCCAATAAAAAATATTTTAAAACAGACGGTATCAACAACAAAATCATCAATCAGCATCGGACAAACATAAACTCATTTGCCACTGATTTACGCTAGGGATAATAATTCCCACCCTGATGCCCAAAACTATTTTTATTTACTGTTTGTGTATTCAAGAGGTCCCAGTGAGAGGCATTTCCTCTGCCAAAGAAAACTGGCTGTATTAGTTGGAAAGAGTTTTTAGCAACACTTTTACATATTACAAAAAAAAAACAAAAAAAAAACAATAATGTGTACTTAAATTTAAGCTAACACTGCTTAAGTAACTTTCTGGAGGTGACACGTCATCTGAAACTGTCATCTGTAAACCGTACTTCAGAGCTTTCTCCAAGGAGAACATTAGAGAATAGGGAATAGTCAGGTTTGTGGAGATACAAGCCCACTTACAGTAAAGACGTTTTTCCTTTGTTTTTCAGTGCAATAAAAACAACATACAAGTAATTTTTGTTAACAATTGCTTAAAAAAATGATTAGTTTAAATATATGCACTTTCTTTGTCCATTCATTCAATCTGTAACTCTACTGAAAACTTTACAACGTACACACACAAATCACAAAATTCCTGCTGTCAGAAGCAAAAAGGGCGCTATTAATCCTTGTTGGTCTTTGGACTTGTCTAATCTTCATCCCCTCCTCTCCCTCTCTTTCTCTCTCTCCCTTTCTCAGCCAGCACAGGGGTCACGGTATCACTATCTTAATGGCTAACCCACTCCGCAGATCGGGGCCCCCTTCTCTGGCTCTTTGCAGTGAAGGAGTGGGCTCTAAACGCTGCCCGGACGGGAGTTTAGGGCTGGGATTCGGTGGGGTCAGAGTGAGCGGCGGTCTTCTCCGTGTCAGGGGAATGATGTGGATGTTTGTGTGCCCTGGCCTGACCCCGGGCGCGCTCACTTCCCCCTCCGGGCTCCTGACGGCAGGTGCGCTGTGCTTGTTAGAGGGGCTCCGCTGGGAGACGAGCTCCAGCAGGTTATGGGGAGGGGAGCAAGTGAAGCTATGGAAAAGGACAACAGATGCATTATGGGAGGCCTAATGGGGAGGGACTGTACTGGCAGAGAGCGGTGTAGGAGATGCCAAAATAATGACCAAAAAAATATACTGTTTCCAACAAACCTCCACAAACATACTGGGACCATATTATGATGCTACAGGGAAGAGAACAGAGATAGACACATGCATTGGTTTGCTCATATATCAGGCAGGTATTTGCATTTTTGTGTATCTGTGTATGTTGTCAGGGCTGACCACTGTTATTAATATATGCAGCTGATGTCATCAACATTCCCTGGGGATGTGAAGCTAAGTACTCTGTCAGAAGCTCTGTTACTCAAGTTAGACTTTAATCTGAGCTTTGTTTTAACACAATTTGAATTTAGGGATGTAACAATAACCGAAATATCATAATATCGTATAGTCAAAGTTCTCACAATAATATCGTGGACCATCACAATATATTGAATTACAAGTCATTTTGCTTAAATTAAGAGTTATGGTGCAGCAAGAGCTAAAAGACAGAGGGAACTACATAGACCATGATCCTTTGCTCCATTTCAGTGTAGAAGAAATAACAGTTCTGACACTTTTAAGTCTTAGTTCTTTGGGTTAAGTCTTGTCAAGTCATTTTAAGAGGAAAAAGTAGCATATTAACAATTTGTTTGCCTCCACAAAATATTGCAATAAATATTGTTCCCTGAGATGATTATCCTGAAAATATTGTACCAAGAGATTTGGATATTGTTACATTCTTGATTGTGAGCTTTCCCACCACCACAGTAGGTTTGCTAAGTTGTGCTGTTAAACAAGACCCTCTCAAATAACATTAGTCACTCACCATATTACACTATTTTCTGATCTATGTTATAATTATTGTTAACAAAAATATACCTTGAGTTGTGTTTTGTTTAATTCACTCAAGTTTAACTCACAAACCCTGCCTATTTAGAGTTCTTCTTTCAAAAGGAAAGCACTCAAAAGCACATAAAAACCTTGTGATGTCATGTGGTGATACATGCCGCTTCACTGGAATCATTTAGATAACAAAAGGTAAAAGGTAGCCGTTTAATTTGAAAACTACCACTTCATGAAATTAAAACGGGGAGCAGAGCATTTTGAGCTTTGGCGATGTATACAGACTAATAATAATTAAAGCTCACGAGTCAATTTAACGTAATATAGGACCTTTAAAAAACAGGAAATAGGCTCAAGAGTACAAGTAATCCAACCAGTAGGGGTGTGCAAAAATATTGAAAAATCGATATATCATATTGTTTAATGTGATGATACAGTATCGATATTGTGGGCTGCTGTATCAATAAATCGCTAAGAGTATTTTTAGGTATATTTTACTAAATAATTTTGTGTGAGAGCTACAATTGTGTTGACATTTTCACTGTTTTGAGTGAAATGGGACTTTTTCATCTTAACTTTGCACAGACTTAGTGGAATTAGTATCACAGCCATGATTTAGCCTTTGTTTTTCACTGAACTGTATCGAATCGATTTGAAGTATATCGTACCAAATCGTATAGAATCGAAAGGGCACTATATCGAAAAAGAGCATCGTATCCTGGCCTACGTATCAAGGTATGTATCGTGCCGTCAACTTCTTAATAATACCCAGCCCTACCAACCAGACACCAGTAGAACATGCAAACTCCACACAGTCTGAGTATCTCCAAGGAGTCGAACTCGCAACCATCTGCAGTGAAGCGAAGTGCTGCCGTGCCACCTGTTTTTAATTTATCATAGCTATCAAAATCATCAAGATGTTTTGGATTTTAAAAATGGCCATCAACCATAAAAATAAATAAATAAAAACCATATTAATGAATCTAGTATAGGATTTTAGATGGAAGCAGTAGCCAGTTGATCTCGCCTCATTACTGACACTTCTTTTGAATTCCTAAAGAAACTAAATATGGAGCTTATTGACTAGGCTTTTATTAACAGATTGTAATTAAGAAGAAGCCATATTGCTAAGTTCCAGGTTAGGAATTTTGAACCCAATCTTTAACAGTACAGTAGATGTTGTAAGCCAAATGAGCATATTGCCTCTTCATATGATTCAATAAACTTAATTAAATTAGTGTGTGAAAGCCAACAAAACACAATGCATAATAAAAGCGTTCATAAAAAGTGATTTTGTTCATTTTGATTGATTTCCTGAGGTGCTTCGTGCATAAAACCGTTATTGTTTGATAAAGATGAATAAAGCTGAAACCCACAGGACTTTGTTATTTCTTAGAGTTTGGCTTACTTGTGATGTATTGCTGCTTTGCAGGGACATCGTGCTGGGAATGATCTACATGTGTCTGTAATCGTGGAATGTTTAGGAGTTACCATATTGACACAATGAGCAAACAATGTCAAAAAAGGTTTAAGACTGGTTTAAGCACATTTTCAAGAGTCTGTGATCAATACAAGCAATCGTGGTCCTGTTTAGGAGTTTGATTTCAGCAAAATGGTGAGTGGAAGTAACTGAAAAACTGCTACTTACATTAGTTTGTATAGGCTGTGCACATAAATTGACATAGGTGACCTCTTCCATTTCCTCTTCCAATTAGGAAATGAGCATGGGGGTGTTCCCAGCGATATCGACACCAATTGACTTTACACTGAAAAACGTCACCCTTCTACTGCTACAATGAGCCTCGTCTTTTAATGTGATGATACAGTATCGATATCGTGGGTTGCTGTATTGATTTATCGACAATAGTATTTTTTTGGTATATTTTATTAAATTATTTTGTTCCAGTGCTACAGTTTTGTTTGCTTTGCTTTGGTTGCTTGTTTGGAGGAAGGAAACTTTTTCCAATGCAACACATTTCACATTTTCACAGTTTTGAAGATTAAAATGGGTGTGTTTTAGGGGTGTAATGATATCCAAGCCTCACGATACGATATGGTACGATATTTATTGTGATATTGTGGGAAGCTCATGATATGGTGGGGAGGCTTACGATTAGGAATGTAACAATATCCAAATCTCTCAGTACGATATTTTCTCAATATACATCTCACAGTACAATATTTATTGTGATATTTTATGGAAGCTAACAAAACTGTTAATATGCCACTTTTTCCTTTTAAAATACCTTGACAAGAATTGCTAAGTACTATTGCTTGTAGTCTACACTGAAATGAAGCAAACGATCATGGTCTATGTAGTTTCCTCTGTCTTTTCTTTAGCTATTGCTGCACCATAACAATTTAAGCAAAGTGACTTGTAATTCGGCATATTGTGATGGCCCATGATATAATTGACGATACGATATCACAATATTTCGGTTATTGTTACATCCCTAGTGTGTTTGATATTAACTTTGCACAAGAAGTGGTTTAACAAAGACTTTTAGTATCACAGCCATGAGTTAGGCTTTATTTTTTACTGGGCCATATTGAGTCGATTTGAAATATATT